CATAGGGACCAAAGCACCTGCTTGTTTCACAACTCTGGCTCTTACCAGCTAGATAACTTTGGGCAGGAGCCTTAATTTCATGAGCCTGGATTTCCTCTTCTTTAAATTAGAGATTAGTAATAGTATATTCCTCGTTGGATTTTGTGAGGATTAAATGAGATGATACAGTACTCAGCTCAGTATCTGGCACATAGTAAGTCTTCATTAATGTTAGCAGTTGTTTGCACAGGGTTGTTCTGAGGGTCAAATGAAATTCTGCATTTGAAATTTCTTTGGAAATTAAATTTTCATTCATTCTTCGTCTCCTGAATCTGACCTTCTGCAAACTGGAAATGGTTGGACGAAGCTCTAAGTCTTGGAGTTGCCGTTTTGTTTGTTTGTTTGTTTTAGACAGAGTCCCACTCTGTTGCACTGGCTAGAGTGCTGTGATGTCAGCAACCTCAAATTCCTGGGCTCAAGCAATCATCCTGCCTCACCCTTCCAAGTAGCTGGGACTATAGTCATCCACTACCATGCCCAGCTAATTTTTTATTTTTAGTAGAGATAAGGTGTCACTCTTGCTCAGGCTGGTCTCGAACTCCTGACCTCAGGTGATCCTCCAGCCTTGGCCTCCTGGAGTGCTGGGATTATAGGTGTGAGCCACCATACCTGTTCCTGGAGCTGGGTTCTTGAGTCAGACCTGCTGGCTGTGAAACAGAGGTCACAGGGTGTGAAGGGGCTAAGGCAAGACCACAGGCTCAGTTACTGCTGTGGGCTCTCCAGCCAAGGCTGAATGTGTGTGTGCACACACCTGCCCATGGATACACACATGTGGGTACATGCACATATGTGCATATAAGAGCGTGAGACCCAGACCCCTCCTGCTTTTGTGTGTTTAGAATACAGTTCATGTTATTCAGGGCTTAAGGTAATGTGTACTCCCAAATAAATTTGCTTCCAAAGCCCATTGTTGCTATGAAGCCCTAAGCTGCCATGTTGGCCCCCACTATATGTAGGGCAGCAGAAGATGGTATGGAGGCTGAGGTCCTAGCCCTGGGGCTGTTGAGTCCGTTCAACAGCTCCCTCCTGGCCCCTCCCTGCCGTCTCCCTTAACTTGACTGGACTTGGATCCCATGGAAGCTATGGCTGTGCTAGGCCAGTTAGGGGGCAGGGAGGCTCCAAGCTGGGCTCTTGGAGAGATGAGATCACCCCTCAGGATGGTGAGGACACCTGTGCTGGCCTGGTCACACACATAGTGATGTAACCAGAGGCTTTAGCTCACAGTGGAAACATGAGGCTTGCTTTACAGCTGGGGCTGCCGAGAGTTTGTTCCTGGCATCCCAGCTACAGACTTGCCTCCCTTGCTCTCTGCTCCCACACACAGTCTCCCAGCATGCCTTTGCTTTTCACCCACACACTCTGCTGTTGCTGTTTTTTTTTTTTTTTTTAATCAGGACCACCCTTCCCATCCACCTCTTATTTGTTTACTCACTGATCCACCAGATTTTTATTAAGTAGCTACTATGTGCCAGGTGCCATCTTAGGTCATGGGGAGATAGCAGGGAACAGGATACAATTCCTGCCCACATGGAACCTAAGCCTAGCAAGAGAGACAGACCAGGAAATAGGCCCAGTGTCATGATTAGTGCTAGGAAGGGGACATGCAAATGAGGATAAAGCTCAGGAGAACAAGGGGACTGGAAATACTGAATCCAGCTTCTCTGAAATTCTGCCCATCTTTCCAGCCAGCTTCACCACTGCAAAAGCCTTTCCTGATTCCCCAGCCAGATGCAATTGCTCCCTTCTCTGCAACCCCCAGCACTTAGTATATTGCTTCATGTATTCATCTATAAATATTGAATGAGTGTTGATTCCGTACCAGGCACTATTCTAGGAACTGGGGACACAGCAGTAAAAACACAGATAAGTCCCTGCTGTCATGGAGCTGATATATTTGTCATGGAAAGGATGGACATAAACCAACAATCTCATAAGCGTTAAGAGTCAGGTAGCAGTGTGTCCTGTGAAGAGAGTAACATAGTGAGAGCAGTAAGAAGTGCTAGGGAGAGACAGTGTCTTTCTGCTACAAGTGGCAAGGGAGGCCTCTCTGCAGAGGAGACGTGTGAATAGAGACCTGGGAGTGAGGTGTGGCTGCTGCAATGCGTTGCTGCTGAGCCATCAGAAACACATGGCTGGGGTGCAGTGAGGTAGGGGAGAGTGCAGTGGTGGGAGGGAGGCCAGCACAGTCACAGGGCCAGACCATGAGGGCCTGGGTGAAATGGGGCAATTGCAGTTTTTTGGGCAGAGGAGCACCATGGTCTGACTTTATTTTAAAAGGATCACTCTATCTCTTATCCTGAGAATGGTTGAAAAGAGGCCAGGATGGAAGCAGTGAGAACAGTGAGGAGGTTAGTGTAGGATGCAAGCTGAGGGTGATATGTACCAGGCAATGGTGGGGGTGGCGAGAAGTGAGCAGATTCTGGACACATTCTGGAGAGAAGCTTGCCTGATAGAGTAGATGTGAGTCAAAGAAAGGAATACAGGATTGCCTCCAGGTTTTGGCCTGGATCAAGTGAAGTTGTCATTTGCTGAGATTTGTGGAAATTAGCTTGGAGAAAAGAACAAGGAATTTGGCTTGGAACGTGGGAAGTTTGATACCTCCTGGACCTTCAAGTAGAGACCCTAGGTACACTGCCAGAAATAATAGCCTGTAGTTCAGGCCACAGGTCAGGGCTGAAGATAAGACACTTGGAACTCCTGAGTAAGGTTAGAACCCCTGAGTATGGATAGAGACTGGAAGATTGTTCTGAAGCCTGAGCCTGGGGAAGGTCCAGGTGGTGAGGGAGAACAAGTGGCCAGTGGTGTCCCAGAAGCAGGTGAAGTTAAAGGTTTCAGGAAGTGAGGTCAGTGCTGCTGATGGACGAGAAGACCAGGCATTAGAACTGCCACATAAGATCTGGCCATGTGAAAGCTGGGGGTGACCTGAGGAGCAACTCGGATGCAATAATGGGCACAAAAGCCCTATTAGAGAAGGGACAGTGAGCGTAGTGAGGATAGACAGCTTTTTCAAAGAATTTTCCTGTAAAGGAAGAAGCAGAGAAATGGGGACAGGAGCTAGAGGAGCATGTGGGGTCAAAGAAGGATTCTTTTAAAGAAGGGTGGCAGCTCATCAGCCTTGGTTGCTGGTGGTAATGAGGTAATATTAGAGAAGGTCTGACAATTCCAGGGAGAGTGAGAGCAACTTGCAGAGATGTCTTGATCAGGCAGGGGAGGGCTGCTTGAGATGGGAGCATAGTTTATCTGTAGAGCAGAGAGGGCAGAGCGTGGGGCACTGCTGCTTGTGTCCTGTACCCCCATCTCCTGCTGTGTGAGCGCCCTGAGAGCAGACCCCTGACTGACTTTCTTCTGTGCCCTCATGACCCCAGCTTGGCAGCCAGTATCTACCTAATATTTGTATCTGAGTGAATGTGTGTTTAGGAGTCTTTGATTTCTAAAAAGTGATGCAAATCAGTTGGAGTCAGCTTAAGAAATGAAGCAGAGAAGTGCATTAATGTACATAGTTACCATTCAATAAAAAAAAAATTTAAAAAAAAAGAAATGAAGCAGAGGTCTGGGTGCAGTGGCTCACACCTATAATCCTAGCATTCTGGGAGCATCCCTTGAGCTCAGGAGTCTGAGACCAGCCTAAGCAAGAGCAAGAGAGAGAGACCCTGTCTCTCCTAAAAATAGAAAAACTAGCCAGGTGTCATGGCAGATGCCTGTAGTCCTAGCTACTCAGGAGGCTGAAGCAAGAGGATAGCTTGAACCCAGGAGTGTGAGGTTGCTATGAGCTAGCCTGACACCATGGCACTCTAGCCCAGGGGGACAGAGTAAGACTGTGTCTCAAAAAAGAAAAAAAGAAAGAAAGTAAAGAAAAAAAAAGGGAGCAGAGCTGGGCATGGTGGTGTGCACCTGTCATCACAGCTGCTCAGGAGGCTGAGGTGGGAGGGTCACTTGAGCCCAGGAGTTCAGGGCTGCAGTGAGCTGCAGTCCTACTAGTGTACTCCAGCCTGGGCAACACAGTGACACCTAGCTCTTAAAAATATATGTATTTTTAATTGTGGAAGAAATGAAGCAGAGTTCATCAATAAGGCTAGAGGGCCTGCTTAGTAACAAGAGGAATGTAGATATGCCCATAAAAGGGATGGAACCAGTATTTGGAAGCATCTTGGGACTCTCTGTCTTTCACCTCTTGTTCTATCCTGAATGTCAGTTTCATTTCCCGTCTCTCACTGTTAGTTAACCCGCTCTTGCTTTGCTTCTCAGCCCATGTGGCAGAACATGGCTGCCCTACCCTTTCAAAGGTAAATTTCTAAATACAGTGGTGGACTGTCCCTAGGTCCTACTTCCCAAATCCTAGACAAAGACTTGGATTAGATTAGCTGACGTGATGTCTTTTACTGAACCTATGTGCCGTGTATGGCCTGAATGGCAAGGGGCATGTGATGGCAGCACTTGAAGCTCTTCCTCATGGGTGTCCTAGGAGTCCCCAGAGAAGAGGGGCTGAGTAGACACCACACTTGTCTCACTACCGTGTGTGTAGGTAGGTGTGGATGGAGGGATAGATGGATAAGGGGCAAATGGGTGGGTGGATGGAGGGGTGTTTTAGCAGTGTTGTCAAATAATGCTAACAGGTCAGAGAGTTGGAATGGAAGGAAGAGGGCTCCTGACAGCACATGGGTCACTACAGAAGGAAGTTTATTACTACCAGCTAAAGACAACTGGAAACTCCTGGTTTCCCTTCCTTCTAGGAAGCTAGAAAATTTCTCCTCTGTATTTTCTTCCCAGCTGCTAAAGGGGAATCATTTTCAGCCTTGACAGGGAATAACTTCTAAAAATAAGCTGAGACATACAGTGGCCCTGTTCTTCCCACAAGCCTGGGGCGGGTGCTGCTGCCCAGTCCTTCGGGTGGCCTCCTGTTCTTCTCTCCCACTGTTTTGGAACTAGCCTTTCTGCAACCCAATCTCCTGCTTCCTTCTCAGGATACCCAGAACCCGAGGTAACCTGGTACAAGGATGATACAGAATTGGACCGCTACTGTGGCTTGCCAAAATATGAGATCACTCATCAGGGCAACCGCCACACACTGCAGCTGTACAGGTGAGGGTGCAGCCAGTTCTCCTATCTCTGTGGGACCCTGCCCTCAGGTGTGGAGCTGGCCAGCGCAGATCTCCAGGCACTGTAAGGGGACGGAGGGTGGTCTTGTTGCTGAGCTAAACCTCCTGGAGAACCATGCCTGCCTGCCAACATCTGAGATCTCCTGAGGCCAGGGTGGGAGAGTTTTTGACAGTCAGAGAGCTGAGTGCAATCAGAGCAGGTCCTGACCCACAGAAACATTTTCCATCAGATCAGCTACCAAAAAAAGCAACTGTGTCATCATTACCTCCCAAGGGGCTCTGTTGGTCACCTGCTTCTGAAGGGAGTTCTCTGAGGCCCTAAGTCTAATCCGTCCTGGGACAGTGTGACCTTGGGCTGCTGCCAGCCTTTTGTCAGCTTGGTGTCCTCAACTGTAATGGAGGGTATAATATGTGATTACTTCTGAGGCAGAGCATGGTACTTGGACTTGCAGTGGGAAGGGGCATGCTCAACTCTGACAGCCTCTGGCTGTGGGGAGTGGGGATCCACACTTCCTAGTAGGGCACGGGTGGCACCTCACACTCCTGTTTCCAGGTGTCAAGAAGAAGACGCTGCTGTCTACCAGGCCTCTGCCCGGAACAGTAAGGGTATTGCATCCTGCTCGGGGGTCCTGGAGGTGGGCACCATGACTGAGTACAAGATCCACCAGCGCTGGTTCGCCAAGCTGAAGCTCAAGGCTGCAGCAAAGCTGCGTGAGATTGAGCAGAGCTGGAGGCACGAGAAGAAGGCAGTGGGGGAAGCCGACACCCTGCGCAAGCTCAGCCCTGACCGTTTCCAGCGAAAGCGCAGGCTGAGTGGAGCTGAAGCACCAGTCCCCTCAGCCTCTACCAGGGAGGCTGAGGGTGGGGCCCTGGCAGCCCAGCAGAAGGGAGAGACTGAGTCTGCCCAGAACGTGGGTTTGGGCCTGATCAGCAGTTTTGCTACTGGAGAGGTGACCACAAATGGGGAGGCTGCCCCTGAGAATGGGGAGGATGGTGAGCATGGCTTGCTGACATACATCTGTGATGCCATGGAGCGGGGACCTCAGAAACCCCCCCAAAAGGAGTCTGGGGCCAAGAAGAAAAAGAAAGGTGAAGAATCTAAGCAAGGTCTACAGAATCCAGAGTTAGAGAAGGCTGCCCGAAGCCACTGTTCTTCAGAAAACCGTATCCCCAGTTCCGACAAGCCTGACTCTCGCAGGACACAGGAGTCCATGGGCATGAAGCAGGCTCAGACCCAGTCCAGAGGCAGGGTTGCACAGGAGCCTGGATCCTCTGGGCCAGACAGTGCCAGGGAACAAGGCTCTGCTGTGGGCATTCAAGACAAGGTCTGGGGAGCCCCTGCTCCAGCCCCTGCCCCGGGCCCAGATCAGGAAGGGTATTTCTCACTGAAGGACATGTACGTGGAGAGCACCCAGGCAGTCAGGCTTCAGGAGAACAGGGGTCCCCAGCCCCAAAGTGTTGAGGCACTTGGAGAGGACTCCTCAGGGAAGGCACTCATCAAGGCTGCAGGTGGGGAGGTGCCTGCTGCTCCTGGCCAGCCCACCCCCTCCACAGTCACCCAATCAACTAAGCCTTTCAACAGGAAGAGATTTGCCCCTCCAAAGCCCAAAGCAGAGTCTACCTCTGACAGCAAGCCCATTTCTTCCCTGAATCAAGTTCCAGAACTTGAGGCCCAGAACTCAGGGAAGACCCCACCTCAGGCCTCTGCCCAAGTGCCAACACCTCCTGCCCGGCAGAGACACAGAACCTGGGATAGCCCCTCTCAGGGGAAAGCAGGCCACAGGACTCCAGGAGGAGTAAGTGTGTGGGTGTTGGGTGCCTGGTGGGTGCTCTGGGAAGGTAACCTCATGGAAACTCTTGTTGCAACAGCTTGGCAGCCAGTGAGCAGTGGGTTATTTATAGAAGGGGGTGGGGTGGGAATGGAGTACCAGGAGCAGGGGACCACAGGCATGGCCCTCACCCCAGCCACTCTCCAGATGCCAGGCATGTGGGCAGCACAGTCTGACTGTGACCCTCCCTTTGAGAGCATGGGAGTTCATGGCCAAGGGGACTGTGACCCAGAGGGAGGTGGAGGAAGATGTTCTCTAGGCCAGCAGGGGGCTAGCAGGCTTGTGCAGGAGACTAAGAAGTGAGACTGTGCTACGGCAACAGTGCTGTGTGCGGGAGACTGAGCAGCGGGACTGTACTAAGATGCATAGCAGGTCTCAACCTGAAGGCTCATTAGAAGATTCGTGAAAATACTGAATGTCTAAGAAATTATGGTTAAATCTGGGTTTATCTAAGGCTTTAGAGTCAGGTTATATCTATATGCAAATCTGACTAGGCTTAACGTAGTTTGATCTTGGGCAAGTCATAAAATTGGAATACTACTAGTACTATTTACTTCATAGGGCTATTGTAAGAACCAGGGTAGTTAGCACAGGGTGTGGTTCCCACTAAGAACTAAATAAATGGCAATTGGGTCCAGTGCAGTGGCTCACGTCTGGAATCGCAGCACTCTGGGAGGCCAAGGTGGGTGGATTGCTTGAGCTCAGGAGTTGGAGACCAGCCTGAGCAAGAGTGAGACTTTGTCTTTACAAAAAAAAAAAAGAATGAATGAATAAATGAATGAATGAGCCCTGCATGGTGGCATACACCAGTAGTCCCAGCTACTCAGAAGGCTGAGGTTGCTGTGAGCTGTGATGACAGCACTGCATGTAGCCTGGGCAATAGAGAGAGACTGTGCCTCAAAAAAAAAAGGACAGAAAAAAAAAAAAAAGGACAGAAGGAAGGAATTAAAAAACAGTGAGTGTAAGAAAGACACAAGACACTGCTATGGTCTGGGATAGAGGCACACAGTTTTACTTGGGAACAGGAGTGCCATCAGTTCCTGGGGAGCATGTAGCCAACAGAGAAAAGACGATCTTTTGTGTGGAGATGGGGATGATAGGGTGCCCACTTATCAAAAGAAGAGGTAGATGGGTGGCAGCATTAAGGACCCTGAGGAGCGAGATTGAGAGACTTGATTGAAAGGAAGCAGTTTGTAACCTGTTTGGAAGCAGAGAAGGCAATATGTCATAGGGGTTAAACAGTGTTTTATAGCAAGAAAGAGAAGAAAGAGGACAGCACTTCTTACGAATGGCAGAGAAAAAAGTGTTTCAAAAGTGGGGGATGGGCTGGATAAAATAGATGGGACATATTTATACGAATAAATTATTGGATGTTTATCTGAAATTCCTATTTAACTGGATGTCCTGTATTTCTTTTTGCTAAATCTGGTAATCCTAAGTGGAGCCTGCCTCTGGTCTGGGCGGGAACTAAAATGAGACTGTTTTTGATTTTTTTTTATACCAGTTTGAAAAATTAACTTAAAAAGTATATACTTTACTTCCCAGTGTTTGTAAGTGTGTGATACCATTTTGTACTTTATATCTTTATGTTTATTCATGTTTTAATTTTTTAGTTTTTGAGACAGAGCCTCACTCTATTGCCCTAGAGTGCAGTAGCATCAGAGCTCACTGCAACCTCCAGGTCCTGGACTCAAGCCTGAGGCTCTTATCTCAGCTTCCTGAGAGCTGGGACTTCAGGGGTGCTCAACCATGCCTGGCTAATTTTTCTCTTTTTGGTAGAGATTTGAGCTCAAGCAATCCCTCTGTCTTGGCCTTCTAGAGTACTAGGATTATAGGTATGAGCCATTACACCCAGCCATGGTGAATTATTTTTAACAAGGTAAATAAAGTCTCTTAAATCCTTTCTTGGATAACTAAAGACAGATTTGCATTTTGAATGGTCTTTTAGTAAAACTTGCTATGTATTTTTTAATAGCTTTATTGAGGTATAAGTTATATACCATAAAATTCACCTGTTTTTTTTCTTTCTTTCTTTCTTTTTTTTTTTTTTTTTT